CGGGGTGCGGCCGTGTGGCGGGAGCGGGGGTGCGGCCTGCTCGGGCCCCCTTGCGCCCGGGCCGGCTCTCTCACTGGACCCCTTCAACGGGTCAGGAACAGCGCGCTCTGCTCCGGCCCCTGCCCGTCCTCGAGTACTTCCGCGGGGCTACCTTTTGATGCCCGGTCCCCCTTCGGGGTCCATCGTTCCCCGGGGGCACCTCTCGAGGTGCCCCGTCGCACCTGGGGGCCACCCTTCGGCTCCCCATCCCCACTTGGGGATCCCTGGTCCCACCCAGGGGCCGAGCTTAGGTCCCTAGTTGCCCGTTGAGGTCCCTAGTCGCACCTAGGGGTCACCCTTCGGGTCTCTGGTCCCACCCACTGGCCACCTTTAGGTCCCCTGCCACCCCTCGAAGTCCCCAGTTGCACCTGGGGGCCACCCTTCAGGTCCCCAGTCCCTCCTTGGGGTCCGTGATCCTACCCAGCAGCCACTCTCAGGTTCTCAGTCCCTCTTTGGGGTCCCCGGTCCCACTCAGCAGCCACCCTTAGGTTCCCAGTCCCTCCGTGGGGTCCCTGGTTGCACCTGGGGGCCACCCTCCAGGTCCCCAGTCCCATTTGGAGGGCCCTGCTCCCACCCAGGGGCCACCTTTAGGTCCCCAGTCAGCCCTCGAGGTCCCTAGTCGCACCAGGGGACCATCCTTCAGGTCCCTACTTCCACCTGGGTGTCACTCTTCAGTTCTCAGTCCCTCCTCGGGGTCCCTGGTCTCACCAGGGGCAGCTCTCAGGGGTCCCCGGTCACTCCTGGGACCTCCCTGGACTCCTCAGACTCACTTAACCCCCTGGCAGGACGCAGAGGTGGTGCGCACCCGGGACCCCCAGCGCTTGGCCCAGTGCGACGTGGTGGTGGATGTAGGGGCTGAGTACGACCCCGAGCGACACCGCTATGACCATCACCAGAGGTGAGGCCCACCTATGCCGGACATCGGGGTCCCCTGGTTGCCGGGGGTCTCTCGGGGCTGACCCCATGGCCCTGCAGGTCCTTCACGCAGTCCATGCAGAGCCTGCGGCCCGACAAGCCCTGGACCACGAAGCTGAGCAGCGCCGGGTTGGTCTACTGCCACTTCGGCTCCCAAATCCTCTCGGGGCTCCTGGGGCAGCCAGAAGACAGCCCCGTTGTGACGGCGCTCTACGATAAGGTACCGGGGGAAACAGGAGTGTCTGGAGGGGAGCTCTGACTCTGCCAGTGCCCCCCAGCTTTCATAGAATGGTTTGGGTTGGGAGGGGCCTTGAAGATCATCCAGTCCCCGCCCTGCCCTGGGCAGGGCCACCTCCCCCCAGCCCAGGTTGCTCCAAGCCCCGTCCAACCTGGCCTTGAACACCTCCAGGGATGGGGCAGCCACAGCTTCTCGGGGCAACCTGCCCCAGGGGATCACCACCCGCACACTCAACTATTTCTGCCTCAGATCTCACCTAAATCTCCCCTCTTTCAGTGTAAAGCTGTTCCCCCATTGCTACAGTTCATGATAAAAAGTCCCTCCTCATCTTTCCTGTAGGCCCCCTTTAGGTACTGGAAGGCCTCTATAAGGTGTCCCCAGAGCCTCCTCTTCTCCAGGCTGAACAACCCCAGCTGTCTCTCTACCTTTCTTCATAGGAGAGGTGCTCCAGCCCTCTGGTCATCTTTGTGGGCCTCCTCTGGACCCACTCCAACAGGTCCATGTCATTCTTACGTTGGGGGCTTCAGAGCTGTATACAGTACTCCATGTGGGGGTCTCACAAGAGCAGAGCAGAGGGGCAGAATCACCTCCCTCAACCTGCTGGCCACGCTGCCGGGGATGCAGCCCAGGGTGCCGTTGGCTTTCTGGGCTGCCAGCACCCATTGCCAGCTCATGGCCTGCCTTTCCCCCCTCGGCACCCCCAGGTCCCTCTCGGCAGGGCTGCTCTCCATCCCTTTGTCCTCAGCCTATGCTGATACCAGGGGTTGCCCCAACTCGGGTGAAGGACCCTGCACTTGGCCTTGTTGAACCCCATGAGGTTCACACAGGCCCACTTCTCGAGCTTGTCCAGGTCCCTCTGGATGGCAACCTGTCCCTCCGGCGTGTCATCGGCAAACTTGCTGAGGGTGCCCTGGATCCCACTGCCTATGTCATTGATGAAGATATTGAAAAGTTCTGGTCCCAATTCAGACCCCTGAGCAACACCACTTATCACTGATCTTCATCTGGACATTGAGCCGTTGTCCACCACCCTCTGGATGTGACCATCCAGCCAGTTCCTCATCCACCCAACAGTTCACCCATCCAGTCCATGTCTCCCCAACTTAGAGAGCAGGGTGTTGTGGGGCACCGTGCCCAAGGCCTTACGGAAGTCCAGATAGACGATGTCTATAGCTCTTCCCCTGTCCACTGGTGTAGTCACTCCACCACAGAAGGCCACGAGGTTGGTCAGCCTTTCCCCAGGGCTTCCGCTTGGTGGGGGTCACCCAAAAAGAGCGCTATGGGAAGGGGCACCCCATAGAAGAGGGGAGCAATTTGTTCCAGCTACTGGTGTGCGGTTGGGCTCTGGGCTGACCCCCCGCTGTCCCTTGCTCTGTCCCCAGCTGTATGAGAACTTTGTGGAAGAGATTGATGCCATCGACAACGGCATCGCGCAGGCGGAGGGGGAGCCCCGCTACGCCCTCACCACCACTCTCAGTGCCCGCGTGGGCCACATGAACCCCCGCTGGAACGACCCCGACCAGGACACCGAGGTGGGGAATGTGGTGGGGGGCAGGGGCAGCGTGGGGCCACCCTGCTTGGGGCCACGTCTGACCCTCTTCTGCATCCCCAGGTGAGGTTCAAGCGGGCGATGGAGCTGGTCGGGGCTGAGTTCATGGACCGGCTTGACTACTACCACCGTGCCTGGTTGCCCGCGCGGGCGCTGGTGGAGGAAGCCGTCCGGCGACGCTTTGAGGTACCCACCCTGCCAGTTTTGGGGGGTCTGGGAGTTTGGGGAGGGG